CCACATTTATTACACTTGTAAGGTTTCTCTCCAGTATGAAGTCTCTGATGACGTGCAAGGTTTGCTTTTCGATTAAAAACCTTGCCACATTCACTACACTTGTAAGGTTTCTCTCCAGTGTGAATTGCCTTATGAATTTCAAGGGCTGAATTGTGACGGAAGGTCTTACCACATTCATTACACTTGTAAGGTTTCTCTCCACTATGAATTGCCTTATGAATTACAAGGGCTGAATTGTGACGGAAGGTCTTGCCACATTCATTACACTTGTAAGGTTTCTCTCCAGTGTGAATTCTAGTATGTTGTGCCAGGTGTGAATCACGCCCAAAAGCTTTGTCACAAACCTTACATTTGTATGGTTTCTCTCCAGTATGAATTCTCCTGTGTTTTTCAAGGCTTGATTTGCGACTGAAAACTTTGTCACATTCTTCACATTTGTAAGGTTTCTCTCCAGTATGAAGTCTACGATGGCAGGTAAGGGATGACTTCTGACTGAAGGACTTGCCACACTCATTACACTTGTAAGGTTTCTCTCCAGTATGAATTGCCTTATGAATTACAAGGGCTGAAGTTCGACCGAAGGTCTTGCCACACTCATTACACTTGTAAGGTTTCTCTCCAGTATGAAGTCTACGATGGCATGTAAGGTATGACTTCCGACTAAAGGTCTTGCCACATTCATTACACCTGTAAGGTTTCTCTCCAGTATGAATTCTCCTATGTCTTTGAAGGTTTGATTTGAAACTAAAAGCTTCGTCACATTCTTCACATTTGTAAGGTTTCTCTCCACTATGAGTTCGCCAATGAACTGCAAGGTATGAACGATGTCTGAAAAATTTGCCACATCTATTACACTTGTAAGATCTCTCTTCATTATGGATTCTCCAATGATTTGCAATAGTTGTAGCATTACTAAAGACCTGGTGACAATCATTACATTTGTAAAGTTTCCCTATACCATGGATTGCTTGATGGTAAATAAGTGCTGACTGCCCACGAAAGGCTTTGCCACACTCATTACACTTGTAAGGTTTTTCTCCAGTATGAAGTCTACGATGGCGAGTAAGGGATGACTTCCGACTAAAGGTCTTGCCACATTCATTACACTTGTAAAGTTTCTCTCCAGTATGAATTATCCTATGTCTTTCAAGGTTTGATTTGAAACTGAAAGCTTCATCACATTCTTCACATTTGTAAGGTTTCTCTCCAGTATGAAGTCTACGATGGTATACAAGGGATGACGTCTGACTGAAGGTCTTGCCACAATCATTACACTTGTAAGGTTTCTCTCCAGTATGAATTCTCTTATGTCTTTCAAGGTTTGATTTGAAACTGAAAGCTTCATCACATTCTTCACATTTGTAAGGTTTCTCTCCAGTATGAAGTCTACGGTGGTATACAAGGGATGACATCTGACTGAAGGTCTTGCCACACTCATTACACTTGTAAGGTTTCTCTCCAGTATGAAGCCTACGATGGCGTGTAAGGGATGACTTCCGACTAAAGGTCCTGCTGCATTCATTACACTTGTACGGCTTCTCTCCAGTATGAATTTTCCTATGTCTTTCAAGGTTTGATTTGAAACTGAAAGCTTTGTCACATTCTTCACATTTATAAGGTTTCTCTCCAGTATGAAGTCTACGATGGTATACAAGGTATGACGTTTGACTGAAGGTCTTGCCACATTCATTACACCTGTAAGATTTCTCTCCAGTATGAACTGCCTTATGAATTACAAGGGCTGAATTTCGACTGAAGGTCTTGCCACACTCACTGCACTTGTAATGTTTCTCTCCAGTGTGAAGTCTACGATGGCATGTAAGGGTTAATTCCTGACTGAAGGTCTTGCCACAATCATTACACTTGTAAGGTTTCTCGCCAGTGTGACATCTACGATGACATGCAAGGTATCGCTTTTGATTAAAGACCTTGCCACACACATCACATTTATACTGTTTCGCTCCTAAAGGGATTATCTGATGTTTCCTTAAGAGTGAGCTATAATTAAAGGCTTTGCCACTCTCATTACATGGGAAAGATTTTTCTCTCATGTGTACTTCCTGCTTTTGTGTGAGTAATGAAGAATTCAGGAAATTATTCCCACAGTTATTAGATATATGGGTTTTGGGCCTACAAGAAATTCTTTGGGCTGTTGAAAATGAGGAAGCATCGTTGATAGACTTCTCAATTCTTTGGGATGTTGAAACCAAGGAATCATCGTTGATAGACTTCTCAACTTGATTACCAATATTCCCTTCAGGCTGAAATATATGCAGTTCAGGCAGATGCGAATGAAAGCTTAATCCAAGCTGATCTTTAATAGGTTTGTTTCCAGCATGCGTTTGATCCTGTCGGTTTGTACTACTCGTCAACTCTTTGATTTTTGTCATGGGTGCTTCATGGCTATTTCTTTCATCTTCTTTCCACTGAAACTCAAAATCATTAATATCTTTCTCCATTTCCTGGAAGCAAAAATCTCCAATGTGATGACGTTCACGTCTTTGCATTGTCTCTCTATGGATCACCTCTGTATTGCCTTGTGCTGTTGATGAGAACTCCTTCATCGTGCATTTGGAAGAGATATCTACAAAATATAAACATCAATAGGTTTCCACTTAAGTACAGATGGTATATAATACTGAAATGTATAAATAGGACACAAAAAGCAATACTTATTTTAAACTTCCCAAACATTGTCTTGAAAGTTTAGGAACCCAAAAGGGTAAGATTCTTAAATAAATAAAGGGCGATCACATGTGCTTGAAATCATTTCTACAGAAGTCTATTTCCAATATCATGTCAAAACGCTGACAGGGCACAAACGTGTATAAGCCTAAAGTAAGGAGTATTTTTCCACTGTGACCCTAAACTGTGTAAGAGTTTGCAAAAAACATATCACTGTCACATCAATGAAGAGAAAAGCATATATTCTTCATATTTACAGCATATTTACTACATACAAATAAATGCTAAAGGACCACACAATATACTATATCGGAAAATAATCCACAACAAGCTCATATAAGGATAACCAAAATCAATGAAAATTCTGTATTGTCAAATAGTCATAGCACTGAGAAGATAAGAAAACATTACAAAATTAAGCCAGGTGTGGTGGCCCATGCCTGTAGTCCCAGCTACTCAGGAGGCTGAGGCACAAGAATTGCTTGAGTCCAAGAGGCAGAGGTTGCAGTGAGCTGAGATCGCACCACTGTGCTTCAGCCTGGGTGACAAAGTGA